TGTGTGTGTGTGTGTGTGTGTGTGTTTTATAGCATTAAACACTACAGAAGGCAATGTGGCCCCAAAGTGTCAAGACTGGTTACTCAGTTCAAGTTTCAAACTGTCTAAAATATTTGGACATCATTACCCACAAGTACCCGTATAGATAAGTATGAGATCTTTTTTTCTTCGTAAAGGCCAACATCTCTACAAATACTCTTGATTTTAGTTAAAACTCATTTATTCATAGATACGTTTGTATTGGTCTGTATCCATCACCTCAGGTACTGCTGTTTTGCAATGCTACACTTACAAAACTGGGGTGGGACTTAAATACTGTATGTCTAGCTCAGTACATTTGAATCAAGCTGTGAATTTGGGTTTTGCAATAAATCAACACAAACTGGAACGTAGAAATGTTTGGTCTGAGATTGTGTTGTACTTTCCAGGCCATAAACTTTTAGATACACATGCAAAATTGGATGCCACAATAAAGTCAAAGCTATAAACAAGAAGCACTGTGAGAGCACAAACATCTTCCAAGGAAGCTCACTCTGTGGGCGCTACTTACTTTTAAGGGAATAATTTTGTATATAATACTTTGGTTTCTTTGATTTTTTTAAAAAATATATATTTTAAGAAGTTTGCAGTGCAATAAAAATCAGATAAGGGCAGCATAGCAGATATTTACTTTATTTACAAGTATTGATTTGTAAGTAACTGGACATGAATAACTCAAGCTTACTGTATAATATTATACTTTCATTAAAAATGCAACACATTTGGAGGTCAACTTGACAGATAGGCAGACTTGAAACGTAAAAGTGAGGTCAGAGGTCAAATGTGAATAATATTTAGATCCAAATTATAATGTGATAATTATAATGTGATATTTAGAATCCCCCACATTGATATGATGTTCTAAATGTTTTCAGTACAAACAAAGGCAAAATCATTTTTTAAGGAAAAGGCATAAGTTCTATGGTTTTTTGTCACTTTCCTTACTAATTAGTCATTAAGTTGACCATGAAGACTTCAGATGAGCTCATTGGATAAGATACATTTTAGTGGATTGTTAATACGACCCCGCTCTACACCAGTAAAAAGTTTTATCACATTGTGACAAAGTGGCTAGGACTGAATTCATTTACCATTTGTTACTTGCATATATTGTTATTTTGTGTTCTGTTATCTAATCATAATGCTTTAATGTAAACACAGCGCATGTAACCTCGCCTCTGCATACTATCCCGGGTCTGTTTGTGGTAGCATTGGTTATATTCATTACAGCAGTGCAAAAGTTCTCAAAGCTAAATGTCACTTCATCATTAGTTGATTTGAATCTTTCATTTGTTTATGTAGTTTGGTTATACTTGTGTGTTCCTTTGTGCAGGTCCTATGTGTAAAACAGGTATGTGGGAGGGGAAAAATTAAGAACACTTAAAAGAAGCTTGAACAGTCTGCAGATGCCGTCTTCCTATCACTTTCCATGCTGCTTATGTTATGCTACCCCACACACATTAATTGAAACCTTTTTGAGCTATCATGTTTGCAGACAGAATCACACCCACATAATCACTACCAAAAACATCACCTCCATGGCAGAGAAGGTTTATGTTAGTATAGAAAGAAAAGTACGTGTGAGGAACACAGTTCCTAGTTACAGTTCTGAAAGTAAGCCTACACCTGACTTCTAAATGTATCTTTGGTGCTGTCAGTTCAGTATTTTCAGGTGTGCTCCTGACTTAATGGAGAGCTAATGTCCATCAGAAAGAGGTCAGAGGTAAAAGGTTTGTGATAACCTACAGTTGGATGCATCCAGAATGCATAAAGAGGATCACACATCTTCAGTCCCCAAAGCACTTTTGTAGTGTTGCTGACCACTCAAAGTGCTTTACACTACAAGCCACATTCAGTTTTTTCACACAGCACTTTATGCTGCGCTCTATGCTGTGCTCTTTCAGCCACACTCATGGCTAATTCAGATTCACCATTGAATCTAACCTGATGTAAATGAAATAAATACAAACTAAACCTCTGCAGGTGCACGCTGTCTAGTGTTTGTCAAGCAAAAAATTTGATTAATCAAACAGATTAATGCGGACAACTGATGATATGCCACCTCCTAACCCTAAAAATATCCTTGGTTGAATATAGGATCATTTGCTATTGATAAAAGTTTATCCAATAAGTTCTGGCATATTTATCTTTACACTCATCCTGTACTTCAGTGAGCAGTGAACCATTAATACATTTCAGCGTGCTGCTTCCACTATGAAATCTTTTGTCCATTTCTCCTTTATTGTTTTAAAGACCATTTAATATGCATCACTGCTCCATCCATTTCAGCCCAAATTAAAGCTGTAAAGGCAAATACAGCCTAACCTGATGTATGATGTTGGAAGGCTTTAGTCTTGAATATCTGGGATCTACCTGGCTGCTAAGAATTAGACAAGAGAACTTTGGTTCAAATCTATTTGGGTCAGTTGCCCCTCAGGATATTCTAAAAATGCTGCCCAATTAGTAGAGCAAATTATCTGTGGCCGTGCCCCCTGGAGCTTGCAGGTAGAGAGAACGTGTGCTGAAAACCTGAAACTCTGCACAGCGCTGCCTGTGTCACTGTGAAGATTTCTGCTGTTTTGTCCATTTCTCAAGCCCACATTCTAGAGGCGATGATCTCTGTTGGATAGTAAAAATGTTTGTTGGTATTTTTCCAGATGGATTTGTTTGCCTAAAGGTTGTTTTTGTTCTTATACAGAGGGAAAATCACTCAGAGATGATGAAATCTTACAGAATCTACCAGTGGGGACCACTGCCACCATGTATTTCAAAGATCTTGGTCCACAATTAGGCTGGACTATGGTACGATTAATTCAACAGGCATATTGGCAGTTGTTTTTTTTAATCTGTGACACATTAAAAAAGAAAGTCATCTTTTCTTCTGTTTTCAGGTGTTTCTTGCAGAGTATATCGGGCCCCTTCTGAGCTACCTCCTCTTCTATTTTCGAATACCCTACTTTTACTCAAACAGATATGCACTTAGTTCCAGCCCCCACCCTGTTGTCACGTATGTTGAAAATGAAATATCAACTACAGCACAAATTACGACAGACCACGGCTAAATTAAAATTGTTCTATGATGAAAACATGCTATTCTATCTATTATATATACATATACATGTACTGTGCAAGAGAATGACCTGTTGCCAGAAGCCAGTCTTATCCCTCGGCTCTCTCTCTCAGACTGGCCTGCGTCTGTCATACCTTCCACTACACGAAGAGGCTGATAGAGACAATCTTTGTGCATCGCTTCTCACATGGGACCATGCCTCTCAGGACTATAGTCAAGGTGAGGAAACGTCTAAAGTTAAAGAGGAGAGCCTCTGATAATAAGCTCCTCTCTTTCACAGTGTGTGGCCTCATTTTTACTGTCCTGCACCAGTTTTTGTTTTTTCATGTTTTAATGTTTATTTATAGGTACAAGCATGTAGCACGTACCACTGCCAGTTTCCAATGCCCATCCACACAAGGTCCTTGAATGCACTATAATTCATGAATGTCATAATAAAGCTAAACAAAGCTTCGTTTGGCAATGCAGAATACAACTTGCAGTCTCTACACAGTATCTTTGTGAGGACTGGAACTTCACTGATCATTTTCACATTAAGTATTTATGTATGTGCTCATTTCGTCTTTCAGAATTGTGCCTATTACTGGGGGTTTTCAGCATGGTTGGCTTACTATATCAACCACCCTCTCTATACGCCTCCATGTAAGTCAGTCCGAGTATGCCACATACAGCATGTTTTTCTCCTGTATTTTCATCATATCAAAGCCAAACTGTCTTTCTCCACAGCATACGGAGAACTGCAAGTCAACTATGCACTAATTCTATTTGTGGTACGTATACTAATAATTACACATGGCATATCACATATACAGACTCCTGATTTGTTTATTTCTGCTCTAGATGTGTGAAATGGGCAACTTCTCCATTCACTTGACTCTGAATAAGCTCAGGGGAGATGGTGAGTCGCTGAGCTTTGTTAACATTCATGGATGAAGCAGGGTCATCCATCAATTCAAATACTGTAAAATGAAATTATACATATGTAATCCGTTCACTGGACGAATTATCTTTGCAGGACCCAAGGGTAGAAGATTTCCTATGCCAAATAAGAACCCCTTCACCTGGCTTTTCTTCTTTGTATCCTGCCCAAACTACACATACGAGGTAACACGCAGCATTCAGAACGGTTTATCTAGCATTACATTTTCATTCATGCTTGAGCATAATCTCACTTTCTGCTTGCACACTGGACATACACTGTAGGTTGGAGCTTGGGTGAGCTTTTCTATCATGACCCAGTGTCTGCCAGGTATGAGCTTCCTTTCACCTTTTGTTGTCACCAAGTGAGCATGTCCATAAATATAATCCATTGTGGAACTGCATGGTTGATGAGAAAGCCTGCATAGTCCTCTTGGTTATCCCCACATGTTGTATATTTTGTCTTTCAGTGGCATTTTACACATTACTGGGGTTTATTCAGATGACCATCTGGGCCAAAGGAAAGCACAGAGCCTACATCAGGGAATTCAAGGACTATCCCAGTCTCCGAGTGGCTATTATACCTCTGATTCTTTGATAATGGTTAAAGCATGAACCTCATACAAAGAAACAAAGAAGTCTGCTGCTGCTGCTACTATGCAATTTTGTCTACAAATGAATGAGCCGAACTAGGAGGAAACAGAGCAATAATGTGGCTGTTTACTTGTTTAAGGCTTTAAAAAACATGCCGGAAACCTTTTAAAGTCAGCAATAATAGCAGTGTTTAATATCAACAGAAGATTGGATTTCTTTCTCAGAGGTTGATTTAGCATTGTGATAAAACTCAGAGTTCTTCCTGTCATATTAGCTACGCTTTAACATTTGGATTTTCTATGTTTGATTCTTTCAGAATATTAAGGAGTGTTTGAGAAACCAGCGAGGAGTGCTGACTGCATATTGGTTTGTTAGCATACGTTGTTGCTTTTTATTACGAGATGAAAGTTTTCTAGTTACATGTAAGTGAAAGAAATTGAGCATCCTCATCCTCATCATAAAGTGCCTGCGGAAGCAAACGAAGAAATTTGAAATGTCACAGCATCCATTTAAGAGTGCGACATCACTTTTAAGCTCTCAGGAGGAACGCTGATAAAGCAGGTGTTTAATCACGCTAAAGTTAAGCCCTTCTAATGCTTATCTCAGATAGTTTTCTCCAGAGAAGTGCAAACTGTACTGACGTTAATGTACAGAGACTTTATCAGGTAGTCAGTGATAAGTGCTGCAGTTCTCAAGCCTATATTGCCTAATCTCAGGTTAAAACTGTTCTTTTTTTGGTTATAAAAGTGAATGCAAGGTCTGAATAAAGGTCCACATCTTAAAGAAAACGCACTTCATTATTTATTATACTCTGCCTCACAGAAACACGTCATCATCTTCTAATGACACTAGGTGCTGCAAACAAATCATGAGGACAAAGCGCAAAAATTAAAAATGAATGGCATGAAGAGATCATATTAATGAAATGTATTTAACAGCGCAAGAAGGATTTTGTAATGATTATGAGCTGTATTACACAGATCACCAATAAATCTCATGATGCTTCGAGTAATACTGCATCAATAAGGTGCTAAGCCTTTGCTTCTCTGAGCCCTTACTCCACATATCTAAAGAAGGCAGTGAAAGTGAATCTTGCTTGGCATCTGAAGCAAAAATATATATATAAACAATCTATGCTTTCTTTACACACCCTTTCTTTACAGGTTGATTTTTTCATATTTCATCAGTTAAAGGCCTAAAAGGTGAGCAGAACGTGGAACAAATAGCAGGCAGGCACAGAAATGCTCCACATTTTCCAAAACGTCAAAGCCCGCTAACATTGTTTACCGGAGAAGCAAAATCGAGCAGCATGCACTTTTGCCACGAGTGAAATCAGTTTAAGGGATCGACTTCTTCACAGGCTGCGCTGTGAGGTTAGAAGATGCAACAGATCGACTGCAACATTCAAAAGACTCCATCAAACGTGGATTTAAAACACAAAGGACTTCTTTTCCGCAAAAGTTGGAAACCAAAAGTTCATCCTCTGTTGGCATCCAAAAAATGATGCGCCTGTCACTGGTGTCTGTTGGGTTGGGAGGGATTTTTCTGCAGACTGTCTCAAATCAAAAGGTGGCCCTGATTATGCCGACTAGCTTTCAGTCCCCTCAAAGTACACACATCAATAGGACTTTGAACACTGGCTGCCAATGACACAAAAATGATCTCTTCCAGCTGAGCTCATTAAATTAAGTTCACCTCCCCAAAGACTTGATGGGTGTGGTATCAATATATCGCTGGGCTCCAGCAGCTTTTGGATGCAATACAATACTTTCATCCTCTCTTGACTGTTGCTTGGCAAAATTCACAAACACCTGCAGGGACAAAGAAACAAAAACAAAGATTTGATTAAAGCAGCAGGTTGACATACGCCATAAAATTAGGAGCCAAGGCACAAAACGCAAAAGGAGGTTAAAATATGACCGACGTGCAAAGTCTTGCAACATAATGAAATAGATCTTTTTTCCATTTTATAATTCATTGTGTTGTGCATTTCTGCACCTATTTACCTGGTCGAGAGTGGTTTGTGACACTGAGTAGTCCTCTATTTTGAGTTTCTCCTTATTAGCCAGGACCATCTGAAAGATCCTAGCCAGGGAGGATGAGGAGATCTTGTACTGTAGCGTGTTGTAGTGCTTCTCTCTCTGGATGCAGCCAGGGAAGGTACTTTCCATGAATGCTTCAGCAGGGTTCAAGTCTGGGGCACAACCGGGCTTAGACGCCCTGATCTTCATGGTGACCACGTAGCCATCGCCAAATCTAAAGTGTGTAAAAAGTCTGGCACTTTTAGTGAAATAGTTACTGAAAGATTGGTGGATAGGAAAGGAGGAAAATGAAGATCAGGTATTTTGTTATATGAATAAATAATAAAGTAAAATGACCAACTTGTATTTGAGATGCTGAATAGTTCCCAAACACTTGAAGGATCCATTAACCATAATGGCCAAGCGCGTACACAGTGCCTCACATTCCTCCATACTGGAAAGAAAATCTTAACAATTAGATGCCGTGCTCACTCACATGTGTGCACACATAATACAGAGAGACAGGGGAGAAATCAGACGATCAGAACAAGAAAAAGTGTCTTTGTAAGTTATTTGGACACCATACACTGCTAGTATTGCCTCAGCGTAAGTTGTAAAGGGCATATGTATTATCTGGACACTGGGAGTGGGGACTTTAAAGCGGTAGGGTGGATGGTTTTCCTGTAGGAATTTTTAAGTGACTAACGTATTACTTCCTGCTTCCTAGTGAGATTTTGTGCATTGGTTTATGGAGTAAAAAACAAAATTCATTCACCGGGTGTGAATTCAAAATCCAAAGGAAAATAATGCAGTAAGGTTATCTCTGACTTATGGCATATGATTTACTTTTCCGTCTTCCTTTCTGCATTTTCTCTGGGAAAACAGCCCAGAGTATTAAACCCATGTTGCCCTATTATTGGGGGTACTGTACCAGAAGATGCCTCTAAGGCATGGGTGTTAAACATAAGGCTTGGGGACCAGAATTGGCACAGTAAAGATTTCAATCTGGCCCGCTGGACAGCTTTGGAAAATGCGAAGGAGGGCGTATATGTTTAGGCCTTTTTGCAGCTTTCGCTACTGATGAAGACCTGCTCTCTGGCCTTTCATACACCAAAGAAATTAAGTATAAATAAATAATTAAATGGCAGAACTTCTTTACACTGACAAAAAGTGGAGCTTCTCTGGACCAGACCACTAAAGATCAAAGTGTGGCCTACAGTGTAAAGTTTGACATCTCTGCTCTAAAGCAACGACACGTGTCAGCATAAAACCCCCACGGCATAACACAGCTGTGGAACGTAGGGGTCAAGCATTCAGATTTTTTTGCTTTATAAGTCAGTTATCCATATGTATTTGTTTATGTTAAAATATAAGGTTTACCTGTGTGACGTGAGCACCACGGCTCTTTTGTCCTGAATAACACTCATGATGGAGTTCCACAGAAAACGTCTGGAGAGAGGGTCCATACCTGTAGTAGGCTCATCCTAAAGTGCAGGAACAATAAACAAATTAGCTTTGGCACATCTGAATTTTGTCTATTATCTGCTTAATATTCTTATAACTGTAATATCCACTCATAACCCACTAATCCTGTTATTGTTGGACTCACCAGCAGCACCAGAGCAGGACAGCCAATCATTGCAATGGCTGTGGAGAGTTTCCTCCTGTTACCTCCGCTGTAGGTCCCTGCACTGTGACCTGCATATTCTGAGAGACCCAGCTTCTGGATGGCCCACTCTGCAACCTAAGTTAGAAGAAGATAAAGTTTCCCATTTCAAAATAATGTCACAATAAAACTTCATCCATCAACTGTCAGACCTAGTTCTGCATCTCACCCTGCTGATCTCAGACTCTGGCACTCCACGAAGGCGAGCGTAGAGGTGTAGGTGTTCTCTGCCTGTCAGCAGCTCATCTATGGCATCAAACTGAGGGCAGTAACCCATGTTCTGATGGACATCCAGGATATTGGTCAAAATGCTGTGAGAGATTTATGCAGATAGGTGAAGTGTATCAAACCTTCTTTTTCACCCAGCATCACAGAAACTTAAAACAACGGCGATTATCAGCAACTGAATGTATTCGACATCAATGCTCAAATTCAGCACGGAACAACTGCGATGTACAAACCTGTGACCTGCAACCGAGGCTTCTCCTGAGGTGACATTAATGTCTCCAGTCAACATCTTAAAGGTTGTGGTTTTCCCAGCTCCATTTACCCCCAGGAGACCGAAGCACTGTGGATATTTGGAAGCAGAAAAAGACAGCCTTAGAGGCAACATACCGTACCATATATCAGTTTAACCAAACCTCTACAAACCTCTCCAGGTGATACTCCGACACAGATTCGGTCTACTGCAGGGATAATTGTTCCTGTGTAAGTCTGGTAAGAGAACATCAGAACAAAAATAAAGCTCAAACTCAAATCTTTCTCCAAAATCAGTTTTCTTTTTTTGTTGTCCACAGTGTGTCCTAATAAAGACTAACACTGACCTTGGACAAGTCTCTCACACGCAAAATGTCATTTGATTTTCCACTCTGATAAATTCGCTGTCTTTCCTCTCCAACATCCACGTCTTCATCCAAAATGTCAGGCTTTGGGCAATCGGGTATCCTGCCAGCGGGAAAAAAAATTGCTACTCAGTCATGGTTTGATTTGGTGTGTTATCTGGACAATGACTTTCATCACATGTGTAAATTTCAAATAGCATTTATTCATGTGCATCTAACAAGTTTGGTAACACATTTACTTGCCAGTTATTCAGGAAGAAGCAATACTGGAAGAGAATATTAATGATGAAATAGACAAATCCCTCAACACCCATGCAGAACAGGTTCTTCCCAATAAAATCCCAGTTATAGGGATCTGGACTGTAGTCCTCACCTGAAAATGTAGAAACAAAATTCCTATAAATCCTACTTTCCCAGTTGGTGCTTTTCATGTAAGTTTCTCCAGCCTTTGTAATGTGGAAAACACTGGAATGCATGAACCGTTAGATACACA